GACCCCTGGTAACTGGCCCGGACTTCTCCCACCCCACCCCCCAGCCCCCAGGCCTCCGCGGGGCCACACCCCCTTCTGTCTCCCCCTCCTCTATCTGTGAGTCTGTCTCCCCTGGTTTCCATCGGAGTCCCCTGAATAAAACCCCTTATGAAAAACTTGGCTACAAACTTCGCAGCCAGCTTTCCCTGCCATCTGCCTGTGGGATGTGGGGGTCTTCTGGAGGGCAGGGGAAGCATAGGACGGGAGAGGGACGAGGTCCTGGCGACTCTGCCCTGCACATCTCAGCCTTCACCTACCTGTGGCAGACCGCAGGCTGGGGGCTGGAGGAGAGATGGGCAGAGGGCATGGCTCAGCCATCCAGAGCCCAGGGTGACAGGATGACTTGCCCAGAAGTGGATGCTCAGACCTGAGGATGTGGACAGTGAGGCGGGCTCAGACCTGCATTTGAGCCCGAGTCACAGCCCCCCAGATGGCAGTGTGTGCCTGAGAGAGAGGGAGACTGAGGCTGCCTGGTTGTTTGAGGTCTCATTTGGAGTGTGTCCCTTTGTCACACTTCAGTGTTTCTGGAGAAAGTGGTCACACTAGGCAAGTGTCTGCATGCATCTCCTGTCTTTGTGTGAGCTTGGGTCCCTGCTTGTACGCAGGTGGCGGAGGCCACCTCTGTCTCTGAACTGGCAGGCAGGTGGACATTTTTAGGCTTGTGTGTGAGGGGGGGTGTCTGCTGACCCGCCGAGTTGAGTGTGCCTCTGCCTCAGTGGGGTGAAGAGGCTTTGTCCATTTCCTGGGGTCTGTGGTGTGATCTGTGGCATTCCAGGGACGTCTTGGTACATTTTGGGCTGTGTGGGTGGATGTGCCCCTGGGTCTCTGTTTTGGTTGCGTCTCATTTTTAGCCCAGGGGTGAGTGTGTGACTGGATCCTGGGGTTGCCTGTCAGTGCATGTGCCTTTGACCACTGAGATGGGGTCCTCTAGCCATGTGTCATGTCTTGGTGGTGCATTGGAGGTCGCAGGTACAGGGCAGGTGGTCTTCGGGTTGGGTTTTGCATTGTCATCTTGGGTTATATTGCTTCCCGGGTAGGATGTGCTCTGGTTGTGGAATGGGCTAGGGCTTTAGTCTTGACTGAGCTTGTCAAGCTTGGAAGGCCCCAAAAGGAATTAGATAAAATTCTTCCCTAGGGAGAAAAGTGCCTGGCCTTCCAGCAGGGGAGCCTCAGCACCCATTTCAACACACCAGGCAGCCCCACGGGGCCCTGCTCCTCCTGCTTCCGGCCCTAGAACCTTAAGACAGCAAGAGAAGGGTCTGCCCAGTGGCCACATAGCAAGTGGATAGGGGATCTGGGTCTCCCAGCTTGGCAGGTTCCTGCCCCAACCCACAGGCCATTGCCCTACCTCCCCAGCCTGCTCCTCCTCGCCTGGGTCTGGGGTCTCTGAGCAGAGAGGAAAGGGACAGAGAATACGGCATAGGAGTTGGCACAGAAGCTGGACTCAGGGTTTAGGACCTTCTGGTTGGGAGGTGAGATTTAGGGGCGGGCAAGAACCCCTCTTTGCACCCAGTTTCTGGGTGTATGTGGAGTGGGACTCAACCCCCAAGTGTGAGACCCGTGGCTCCGAGTGAGCTGTGGCAGGTGCTGACAGGTGGGTCCTGTGGGTGTGGGTTTGGAGGCTGCTCTGCTACACAGTGTGGCTGCGTCCCCCTGTCAGGCTGTGCATCTGAGGCTCCGGATGTCTTGATTCCATCTCCATCACTGCTTTTGTCATTGGGGCCTTTGGGGTCCTATGTAACACAGTTGTTTGAGGGGTCCCAGTTCTGAGGCACCTGAGATGTGTAACTGTGTTGTGACAGGTGGGGTGGGCAGTGCTGGATTGTTGGCATGACGCAGCCTTGTCTGGGGTAGCCGTGTCTGATGTGCCTGCACGGGTGGTCCTCGGCAGGAGTGTGGCACGCTGGCGTGTCCACCTTCCCTGGTGTAGTGTATGTGATGTGCTGCTGCAAGTGCAGGGACACACAGGCACACAAGATCACACAAGTGGACATGCAAGACCTGAGCATGGACACAGTGGGTGGGTGGGGACACCGGGACATGAAGAGTACACACATACAGGTAGGTGCAGAGACAGATGTGCCAAGGCTTAGCCAGAGTGTGCCGGGAGCCTCAGGGAGTGGGGAGGAGCATAGGGCAAGGGACTAGGTGTGTTTCAGGGTGCCCGAGACTCGAGAGGCCTCCTGGGCAGTGGGGAGAATGGCTACCACTGTGGAACATGTCCTTCCCCACTACTCCTCCCTGATCATGGAGGCAGGAAACGGTTCCCTCACAACCTTACCCCTTCCCCTGCTGAACCTGGGTAGTTGTGCCCAGGTAGAGGAGCAGGCTGGGCCTTCCCCCTTTGGGCAGCTGGGGGACTGGACACACCAGCGGGGCAGGTCTGGAGGTGCCCGAGGCTGGGTGGCTGTTCCTTTGGCGACAGAGCAGCACTGGTGGCCTCTCTGGTTGCTCAGTTCAGCCCGGAGCTTCTGACTTGGCGTCCCCATCCAGGCCACTCCCTGCCTCCCGTCCCCAGGGTTTGCCTTCCCGGATTGGGCCTACAAGCCGGAGTCATCCCCTGGCTCGAGGCAGATCCAGCTGTGGCACTTTATCCTGGAGCTGCTGCAGAAGGAGGAGTACCAGGGTGTCATCGCCTGGCAGGGGGACTACGGGGAGTTCGTCATCAAGGACCCTGATGAAGTGGCCCGGCTCTGGGGCATCCGCAAGTGCAAACCCCACATGAATTATGACAAGCTGAGCCGGGCCCTGCGGTGAGGAGAGGCTGTGGGCCTGATTCTGATCTCACCAGCTTCTCCCCTCAATTTCCCTCAGGTCCCCACCCCCTGGGGGCTCTCCCTTCACATCCTGGGGCCAAATCCTGTTGGATCCCCAAATTCCTTGTAAGTAGAAGGGCAGCAAGGACCCCCAGCTCTGGACCCTGGAGCCATGCAGGACAAGATCCCAGCTCTGCCTCACCCTTCCTTGCCCCATGACCTTGGTTAGGGGACTTCTGTGAGCCTCAGTTTCCCCACTCTGCGGGCACAGAGCCTGTGCTAGGAAGCCCTAAAGGCCACCTCCTCTCCCCACAGTTACTACTACAACAAGCGCATCCTCCACAAGACCAAAGGCAAGAGGTTCACCTACAAGTTCAACTTCAGCAAAGTCGTGCTAGTCAATTACCCACTGCTGGATGTAGCAGCTGCTGCCACTGGCTCCCCACTCTTGTTGACCCCTGGTCCCTTTGCAGGGGGCCCTGGGCCAGATGCTCCTCCCCTCACCCCAGAGGTGAGTTTGGATAATGGGATCCCAGAACTGGAATGGGGATGTCTGGTGCCCCCCTCTGCCATGAACCCCCTGGGAGGGGGCAGTCTGAGTGGTGCCACCTCCCCCTTCAGGCCCTGCAGACCCTGTTCTCTGCCCCACGCCTGGGAGAGCCGGGGGCTCGGACACCCCTGTTTACCCCAGAGACGGACAAACTGCGGCTGGACAGCCCTTTCCCGTTCCTGGGCTCTGGTAAGAGCCTCGGGGTCCTGGGGGGAGATCTGCGCATGTATGAGGGAAGAGGAGCAAAGACCAGGAGAGGGGGCAGAGGGAGGAGGCGGGGGAGGCGGTGAGGAGATAGGGGACAAGGTGGGAGAAGGGCTTCAGGGGTACTAAAGGGATGGGAGACAGTGTGAGAAGGAAGGAGGTGGAGAGGGAGGAAGCCCTGTGGAGCCAAATGGGAGGACAAAGGGGAGAACGAGATGGATGTGGCGGGAAGTGGCACCCTTTACCAACTCCCATGCAGGCTGGCCCCAGGGGGAGTGGCCCAGCCTGACCCATCCCCTGTGCCCCCTAGGTACCACTGGCTATTCCAAGCCCCCCAGCCTGCTGGGTCCCTACGGCCGCGCCTTCCCTGAGTACCCCTGGAACTTTAACCCATACCTCACAGGCCCCTTCCCCAAGCTCTCCCCTTCTCTCTATCCCCCACACTTCTACCCCAACTCCCTGGCCAGTTCCCTGGGCCACCTGCCTTCCACAGGAGCAGGGGGAGGCCCCACGGCTGCACCCCTGCTGGCTGCGACTGGGGAGGGCCTGGGTCCTGAACGCCCCTCAGGCCTGGTGGCAGCCCCTCGCCTGGCACTGCCAGGAGCAGGGGGTCCAGAGACCACGCTGGGCAGAAAGGAAGACAGTGACTCAGAATTGGAGATTACTGATGTCAGCGGCTGCAGCTCTGACAGCGAGGGCGATGAGGGCCTCCAGGTGTCTCCCAAAGCCAAGGCAGGCAAAGGGGGGACCGGCAGCTGAGCCAGCGTGGGGTGACGGATTCTGCCGAGGTGGGGACCAGGACAGCCACCCATGAAGCCTCTGCCATCTGGTCTGCCCTCGATGTCAGCCAAGGCCTAGGACCAGGCCCTGGCACCCTCCCAGAGCCCAGTCTCCCTCCCCAACCCCAGAGTGGGGGTCTCGCCTTCCCCTCCATGGAGGGGGAGGGAAGAAAATGGCCTCCACCCCCCCCCCCAGGCTCCAGTTTGAGGGGGGTCCCCGCCTGGCCCCACTCCCAAAGTGCAATACGGCGCCCAGCCTCCCCTGCCCACCCCTGTGCTGTGACCTGTGTGTTTGTGTGGCCGTGTCTCCAACCCCCTGTGCCGGCCCCCATCCTGATACCCTCACACAGGCCCCCCTGGGGACAGGGAGCTCAGAGCAATAACCCCGCCCCCAGCCCCTACCCAGGAGGGGCCCTCTCCCCACCAGCTCCCCACGACCTCCACAGCCACCTACAGAGTTTACTACAAAAATAAAAGAACAGAGGGAGACGTGGGTGCCCAGCATTCTGGATGACTGGGGGCTGGGAAGGGGGCAGGGCCCTTCCTCATATCGTGTGTGTGTGTGTGTGTGTGTGTGTGTGTGTGTGTGTGTGTGTGTGTGAGAATTGTTAATGAGAAGGACTGAATGAACGACTCAAGAGCAGCAAGAGCGACAGCGGCGATGCGGTGGGTCAGACACAGAAGTCGAGGTGGGCAGTCGCGGAGGGGCCCAGACGCTGCCGCACTGGGCTCTGCCCACCCCTCACATGCACAGTTGTCTCCTTAGATAATATATATTAAAAAATAAACCTCCAATTCAGGATATAAAAACAGAGCAAAGGCACTTAGGGGTGGGGAATGGGGGGGTCAGCCCCCACAGGCAATACTGAGATGGCCTGGGAAGTGGTGGGGGTCATGGTGGTGCCCCCAGAATGAAGCCCTGAGTCCCCCGACAAGGCAGGAGGGAGAGAAGGCTGAGGCCGGTGGGGAGACAGGGACCCCAGCCGGCCCCTCCCAGGCATGGCTGGCAGCCCGCTCCCTCTCCTCAGGCCCTTGGGGTGTGAGACGCTGCAGCAGCTGTGGGGTGGGCCCCTCAGTCCTCTCCCCCATTCTCTCCTTCTTGCGAAAGGCCTGGGGGATGGAGGAGAAGGGAGACAGGGAGAGAATGGAGGGAGATGGACAAAAGCAGAGGAGAGAAAAAGGGCTGAGCAAACAGAGAAGTAAACTGGGAGAAGCAGGGAGACGGAGGGGGGTGGGAGGCGGAGGCACAGGGAAGGGAGAGGAGACACCAGGGCTGCAGGGACCCCATGCCGCTCTAGCCCCTCTCAGGGTACACACCGGCTCCCGGCTCCCCCCTCACCTGCCTGGGCAGGGGCCTCAGGTGCAGCCAGGCTGGGGGACAGCATTCCCCCCGAGCTGAGACAGGAGAGGTCGCAGGCGGCACAGTTCCTCCTCCAATTCCTGAAGAAGGGTCGTCGGTGAAGGGGTGCCCTTCCTTCCCTTGCGCACCCAGGTTCCCCCTCACCCAACGTACCTCTAGCTGCTTTATGGCCTCTTCCAGGCTGAGCAGGTTCTCTTGAATTTCCTGGGTCTGCGCTGGGCCCAGAGGGCTGCCACCTGGCACCTCATCCCCGTTTCGAGGAGGCCCAGCCCCGTTGTTGTCTTCCTCCACAGGAAACAGGAGCTGCTTCAGGGACAGCACTGGAGCGGGCCGGGTGTGGGGGCACAGGGGACAGAGTCATGAGGGGCAGGGGCTCTGGGCTGGGCCTCAGGTGGGTGGGGCGGGCACAGGCCAAGGGCCTGCTGGGCAAGACTAAACAGATGGGGGGCTGGAGATTCAAGAGGGAACAGAGGTGAGGCTGGAGGTTGGAGCTGGAATGGGGTAGGAGGGCGCTGGGGAGGGAGCAGCTGAATTCAGGGTCAAGTGAGGATGGTGGCCTCAGGAGGACGAGGGACTCGGCCACCCAGGACGGTGGTGCAGGTTGGGTAGGTTGGTGCTTTTGTTTTCTAGCTGCTGGACATGGAAGGAATCTGAAAGGGGGAAGATTTTTTCTAGTTCCAACAGAGGTGCTATTCGGCTGGCTGGAGGCCACCCTGGAAAGGGCAGGGCTGGGCTACCTTTCTGAAGGGCTGTGGCAGCAAGCTGGCCCTCAGGGCCTGGTCGGCAGAAGGGCAGGAGGTCACTGAGGATTTTCTCAGTCCGGGCTGCATGGGGGAAGGGAGGGTGTCAGACCCGGTCAGGCTCCCCTGGACACCTCCCATTACCCATGAAGCCCCCCCCCCCTCACCGTCAGCTGGAGGCATCTCTCGGCTGCAGTTGCCATTCTCAGAGCTGCTGAGCAGGGGTTCCCGGGTGCTGTGGGGAAGAAGTACTGGGTGACCCCACACCCCTGTCCCTGCGGGGCAGCAGGGGCAGAGAACAGAAAGCTGAAGATGGGGAGGTCTGGAGATGGAGACAGAGAGAGAGGTGGAGGCCAGGACACAGAGAGGCCTGGAAATAGGACACAGCCAGGTTATGACAGGACTAGTACACGCATATGCACACTCGTACGCTCATGCTCACACTTGCTGAGTCAGGGCTTGGGCCTGGGTTCTGGGGCTGCAAGGGAAGCCATTCTGTCCCTCCAGCTCCCTCTATGGCCCTCCTCACCTGCTTGGGCTGGGTCGGGGTTTAGGGCGGGAGGCAGGGGCGGGGACCTTCAGGGATCCAGCAGTCTCAGTAATGAGGGCACACCAGCTGGGGAGACAGGCCAAAGTCCAGGACAGTCAGCGCCCCTAGACCCTGTGCGATGCCTCCCATTCCCACACTGATCCCAGAGGGCCCCCTCTCACTTCTTCCGCTCTGACACAGTCTGTGCCACCAGCTCATATATTTGGGCCTCTTGGTCCCAGGTAAAAATGACGTAGAAGGCTTTGTGATCTGTAGGGGGCGGGAGAGATAGGAGACAGTGCTCAGGGCCAGGGTCCCCGTGTGCACCCCTCCCTCAGCACAGGCTGGAGGCTGGGAAGCCCTGTGCTGCAATGCACCCTCACTGTCCTGCAGATACCCAGGGCTACCCCCACCCCATCCCTTCGCTGTCCGCAGCCCCTAGCCCCTATCTGATGCTGTGGCCGGTCCCTGGCCACTCCACCTACAGAAGCTCTCCAGCCACCCCACAATCCTGCCACTCCCACCGTCCAGGACCCCAGTGCAACTTCGTAGCAGTATATTTACAAATTCCTCCTCCCTGGGCTCCCTACAATTCCCATGCAGTCAGCCAGAGTCTTGTCAAAATGCTGATAGAGCGAGCGTACACGCCTGCAATCTCAGCAACTCAGGAGGCTAAAGCAGGAGAACTATAAGTCCAAGGCCAGCTTCAGCAACTTCATGAAGCCCTAAGACCCTTAGTGAGACCCTGTCTCTAAATAAAAAGTATTTTGTGACTCAGTGGCAAAATGCCCCTGGGTTTAATCTCTAGTACCAGGGGAAAAAAAATACCCATCAGGGCAGGCCAGTTACCGGGGGCAATTCCCCTCTATTTTAATATGCCCCTACCTGGCCTGCTTATCTCTGCCTCAGCCAGCCAATACCTTTTTATTTATTTATTTTATGTGGTGCTAAGGAGTGAAACCAGTGCCTCACATGTGCTAGGCAAGTGCTCTGCACTGGGCCCCAGCCCCAGGTCCAGCCCCAGGCCCAGCAGGCCTCTTCTTGACCACTACAAAGATCAGAGTGGTCTCCCTGGCCCTCTAGAAGGTCCATGACCCACCCCATGGGGGACCTGCCCTGAGCTTATACCACTGCTGCACTCACCGGTGGCCACCTCGCGGGTCATGGCGGAGGTGAGCCGCAGCACAGGCCGCAGCATGGTCTTGCCATCAGGCGTGGGCGTGAGCGTCCGGCTGTGTGACTTGAGCAGCAGCCTCTCATCCTGGCGCTGGAGCAGTAGTAGTAGGTCGTCCAGCAGCAGCACGTGGACCTCTGTGGGGGAGTCCAGCAGATGCTCACCCCGACCCCTCCATTCTGTTTACTAACCCCACCCCACTGCCACCTGGCACTCACCCACAGCTTTGTCCTTGGTCACCCGCCACGTCAATGGACCCTCGTGCACCAGCTTCTTCTTGGTGATGTCCAGGTTCTTGGGGCAGGAGAGAGAGTGAAGGTTGGTTAGGGAAACTGGGGAGGGGAGAGGAGAGTGGCCACCAGGATAGCCACAGGGTCAAACGCAGGGGTCGACACAGGTGCCTGGTTGGAAATGAGGTGGGGGCAGAGGCGCACTGGGTACATGAACAGACGGGCAGTGTGGGCTGTGTGTCAGAATATCCCCGGGGCAGCAGCCCTGGCTGAGCCACGGGGAGGGGCAGACAGGCAGTGCCCACCTTGAACTCGCTCAGCATGGGGTCGCTGCTCTGCCGCAGGTGGGACAAGTCCAGGCGGCGCTGGTAATCTTTGAGCCTCTGGGGAAGAAATGAAGAATGTAATGGGGATAAGTTCTGGGGCTGACCCTCAGTGACCCCAAGGAGGATAAGCCGAGAGGCAAGGCCAACCTGTGAGGGACAAGCTGAGCCAGGCCTGACCTCCATGGACCCGAGGGCAAGTCATGAAGGACAGTCTGGTCTGTCCTTTGGACAAAGTGAGGGTAGTCCCAGCCCCTACACTTATACCACACCCCATTCTTGCTGGGGCCAGGCCAGGACTCACCAGCAAGTCCTCCATGTCACGCACGGCTTGGTTGACATGGTGCAGAATCTCCCGGCAGCACTCGGCTGCCAGCTCCACTTTCTCCCGTTCCGTAGGCTCTTCTGTGGGCAAGGGACAGACTGGCTGCAGTGAACCCCAACCCTGGAAGCCCCCGGCTCAGTGGCCACTGCTGGAGAAGGGAAGTTAGGACCCGGAGGCGTGGGCCCCCTGGCACCTGTGTTCTGCTCGATGCTCTGCAGGAGCAGCGGGTACTTAGTCAGCCGCTGCATCTCGGTGGGGATCATGTCCTTCAGTTGCAGGCGGCGGCACCGTGGGCGGCTCTCAGCATCCTGTGGGGAATCAGCGCTGGGTGGCCTGTGCTTTGGCTCATCCCAGGGTTGGGACCACAGCCCCATCCTCCCCTGGGACCTGGAGTCCAGGTCCCACTTCACCTGCACGAAGGTACAGAATCGGGGCTCCTTGCGCTGTTTGGCCTTGAGCTGCTCTAAAGCAAATGACTGGCGGCTGCAGAAGCGGGAGGAGATTTTCTGGAACCAGGAGCCCTCGGCACCATCAAACTACAGCGAGATTCAGGCCAGGGAAGGTCTCAGGGGGGATGGGCAAAACAGGATCTCAAGCAGGGATGGGAGTCTAAAGTAGGACAGGCCTGGGGACCAGACCCCTAGCTGGGATGAGGGACTGGGCAGGGCATTCTCACCCTGGCCAACAGCACGTCTCCAATCTCTTCAATGAGGTAGCCACTTTCCTGTCTCCGTTTCATGAGGCGATCGAGGAACAGGGCTGTGGGAGCAGTGAGGAAAGCAGGTGCTCCGTTAGGGCCTAGAAGGTTGTCTGTAGTACTCAGGTGGGAGACAGCCACAGGTGTCTATGTTTGACCCTTGGGGTCAGTGAGCCTGTCTCCCACCCTCTGTGAGCTTAGACAGAATGTCTGCTCCCCTGAGGTATGAGGTCTGGGGGCCACAGACAGGTGGCCCCCAGTAGTAGCACAGAGGCTGTCCATGGTAGGGCTCAAGGAGAACAGGCTGAATTCCGGGTCTACAGAGGCCTCCAAGGAGGAAGACAGGTGGGGTGCAGGGCTATGGCCTGACACTCACAGTGCACCTCGATGAGCTCATCCAGGCTGGGGAAGATGTTCTGCAGTTCCTCCAGCGGGAAGAAGCCCCCATCGGCCATGGGCTGGTAGAAGAGGTCATGCAACACCCGCAGCATGCGCACATGGGCTGCCTCTGTCACCAGGAGCTCTGCAGGGGGGCCCCAAAGCAGGAGAGTGTGAACTCTGGGGGATGGCTTCAGAAGGCGCTAAGAGAAAGAGCAGGGGAGGCCCGAGCCACAGCGGGTAAGGAATGTTCCCGAGGAGTTGGTGTAGGGGACACTCTCTCTAGGTGGGGTCATCTGCCCCCTTAAACAGTCAAGGAGGACTCCTGACCCACAGTGCCTTTCCCTTCTCCCAGCCAGAGTGAGCAGTGGTCCCAATTTGCTGGTCATGGGGCTTTCAGTAATAAAACTGGGGAAGTCAAGTGGGGGCTGTAGCTCAGTGGTCAAGTGCTGGCCTAGTATGCCTGAGGCCCTGGGTTCAATCCTCAGCATCGAAAAAACACAACAAAACTGAGAAAGTCCTAGGCAAACCAGGATGAGTTGTATGCACCCACACCAGCAAGCCTGCAGCTGTGTATACTGTCCAACCATCCAGCCATTTTCTCAGCCGTGGTTTCTGGTACGATGGTTCCCTATCGTTGGTAACTCAGATCCAGGGATCCCCCTAGAGGGTACCTGCACAAATTCCAGGGCCCCCTGAAGTCTGCTGAAACTAAATGCACTATTTTGTGTGTTATGCATATTTTTCTGGTGAGAGAAATTACTATGCTGGCCAGTGGGGTAGCCACTAGCCTCATACATCTGTTTACATTTAAATTAATTAAAATGCAAATGAAACACAAGAATCCAGTTCTCAGTTGCATCTACCACATTTCAAGACATATATGTGGCTGGTCTTTCCATGTTGGACATGTAGATAAAGCACATTTCCCATCATGTCAGAGATTTCTATCACATAGTACTGTCTACATTTTTATCATCTTAGAAGGGCTTGTGACCCAAAAAGTATTCACTTTGTATCTGAAAAATTCTTCAGGGTTTTGATTTTTGCCATGCAGTGGAATGAACCCAAGACTGCATGCTAAGAAGCACCCTACCACCGAGCATACCCCCAACCTGTGCCCTAAAAACTCTGAATGAGCATCTTTCCTACTATTAAGTAACCTGTAAATAAACTTTCAAACAAGCTTCCAAATGTTTTTCACTTTTGCCTCCTTCCCACACACCATCAGAAAGCACACGCACAAACAAATCAAGACCAAAAGATTCACCCACATCTCCCCACCAAGAAGCAAGCCGTTAATACATTGATCATTTCCCCAAACTTTTCCCTGTGGGAACCTTTTTCCCCTAAGCCATTAAGATTGCACTAATAACAATAAACCCATTAAAATGCTCACCCCCTGTGCCCCGCACTACACAGAATGTTCACAAGCTCATATCGTCTTCACGACAATCCTGAAGGAGGAAGTGTTAGAGCCCATGTTTCACAAATAAGGAAACAAAGGCTTACACTAGAAACGCAATTTTATATACTGTTCCTGGTACTTGATTTTAGCAGTGCTGGGGATAAAGCCAGGCCTCACACACACTGAGCAAGTGCTGCCATGAGCTACACCTCAAGCCCCAAGCCCCAAATTCCCTGAAAACACAGCTTCGATAGCTGCATTCAAGTTCCATCAAGTGGCTGCTCTGTGATTCATGTCACCCGCTGTCCTGTGCTAGCAACGAGCTGCTCCCCAGCACTCCAGATGGTAAACAACACTAAGACGGACATGCCACATGTCTCTGCCACTGGAGGACGGTCAGGGACGGCACTCACCGCTGATGACCTCCTGCCGCTTCACCTGGCTTTTGGGCAGGTTGAGGAGGATGTCCGGGGGGACAAGCTCCCGCCAGCCGGGAGGCTCTTCTGGTTCCAGCTCTAGTCCTGACCGCCCTGGCTCCCCTTCATCTCCAGGCTCAGGGCTGTGGGCAGAGGCCTTGTAAGTCCCAGCCTGAGGCACCCCACGAAGGAGTCTTTGACTCCTTAGTGTTCCACTTCCCTGTGCCCCCAGGGTGGTCCACGCTGCACAGCAGTCCCCAAAACTCCAGACAGAAATGACCCACCCACTCCTCCAAGGTCTGCGATCATAGCTGGCTTCCAGTGACCTCGGCATCTGCTGCCCACTGTGACTGGCAACAACCCCCCCCACTCTCCGGGCTGCCTCAGTGGATGGGGAGAGAGACGTACGTGGCTCGTCGGGCAGGGCCAAGCACGGCCGTGGCGGAGCTGGGGTCCATGTCCACGTCGCTCCGGGAGCGGCCCCCACCCCGGCCCTTAGCCCCGAGGCTGCCCCGGGAAGGCCGGCGGCGGTCGCTCACCCGCAGGCTCTCTGAGCGCCCCAGACGCCCTGACAGCCTGGACCCCGAGGTCAAGGACAGAGTCAGGCAGAGGCCAGGACAGAGACGAGGACAGACCAGGACAAGAACAGAGACAGGGAGAGATCAGGACAGGGACAGAGGACCAAGACAGGACAGGAGGGACCAGGACAGGGGAGACCAGGACAGGACAGGGGAGACCAGGAAAGGACAGGGGAGACCAGGACAGGACAGGGGAGACCAGGACAGGACAGGGGAGACCAGGACAGAGACAGAGGAGACCAGGACAGGGACAAGGAGAGACCAGGACAGGGACAGAGGAGACCAGGACAGGATAGGGGAGACTAGGGCAGGGGAGACCAGGACAGGGACAGGGAGAGACCAGGACAGGAACAGAGGAGCACAGGACAAGGATAGAGGGGACAGGGACAGGGGAGATCAGGACAGGGACAGGACAGGGACGAGGAGAGAACAGGAGAGGGATCAAACATGCAACAGAAGAGAGAGGAGAGTTAGGAGTAGTGGGATCTGAGGTGCCAGGGCATGAAGGGGGGGAAGAAGAACGAAAATTGAACGGGCAAAGGGGAACCAAGGGGGCAAAAAGAACGAACCCCCCCTTCCCTGAAGCAGGGGAATGGGGACAGAAGGGGAGAGAGGAAGATTTCAATACTTAGCTCTTCAACTGGGAAGGTGATGCTCCCACCCACCCCTCACAGGGGCTGAAGGGGAGAGGGTGGCCGAGGGGAGGGGACAGGGGCTGGGAGACATGGGGGAGGGGTTAGCCCTCCCCCACCAGGGCCCAGGCACCCACCTCTTCCACCTTCTGGGGAGAGAGGGGCACAGGGTCAGAGATGGACCAGGGGGACCCAACCCTCCTCCTCACACCCACCAAGGGGCCCCAAAGCAGCAGCACAAGGACAGGCAGGGGGCAGAGCCTGCCCCCCAACTGTGAGGGGGACAGGGCCCCCAGGGCACTGAGCATGGAGCATGGAGCACAAAGAGGGGATGAAGGGCACCAGGAGCAGAAGCGAGGCTGGCAGGGGCCTAGAGATGAGGAGAGAAAGGGATGGAAATGAAAGGGGTGGGAGAGGAAGAGAAAGAAGGAGGGAGAAACCTGGCCAGAGGGAGGAGAGGAAAGAACGAAAGAGAAGAGGAGAAAGAGGAGAACCACAGCAAACAAGGAAGGAGAGGAAGGAGGAGAGGAAAGAGGGAAGAAAGGAAAATGGAGGGAGTGGAGGAAGACACAGAGAAAGCAGAAAAAGGGGTGCAGCTCGGAGCTAGCTCAGGAGACGCAGGTGCAAACGGCAGCGGCCCCCTCCCCCACCCCAGTAATCTGACCCTGCCCTGCCAGTCCTCCCGGGACCCAGTCAGGCACCTCTCCGTCTCAGCACCCTCCTCTGTGCTCTCTGGGGGCGCCGGGGGCTCCAAATTCACTGTGCCCTGTGGGGGTGGGTCCCCCAGGTCCAGGGGGGAATCCACGCCTGCAGAGTGGAAGAGGGAGCTAAGCTGGCTAGAAGGCCCTGGGGGGGCAAGACTCTCCCTCTAGGGGCTCAGTCTCCCCTGCTGTGGAAGGGGGTGGGGGCTAAGGCACCCAGTGCCTGGCAGACACAGGCCGTAGCAAGGTGCCTCAAGGAGAGACAGACTTTAAGAACGCTGAGCACATGGCAGGGGACAAGTGGGTGGTGATGCCTCAGGACTAGGGGGCCCCCTGCACACATCCACCCAGCCAGACTGCAGTCCCCCAGGCAGGAGGGAACCAGAGATAGCAGGGCCTCTGCCTCCATTCCTCCTCCCAGCCCTTGTGGGCAGAGGGAGACCCCACGTGGAGGTGAGTGAACTGGGGTTCAGCAAGGGCCAGACAGCACAGCACAGGTAAATTACAGAGTGGGGACCTCATCGAGGCCAGGCCAAACAGCCACCTCAGGATCCAAGGTGCTGAGGGCCACACAGCCCTGAGGAACATGAAAAATGAAGTTCCTGGGGCAGCTGGCCTCAAGGCTGATGGGGGATGGAGTGGTGCTCTGAGGTGGACTGCCTGGACTCAGACTGGTCCTGGGAGACAGGGCCTGAGAATAATGGAAATGCTAGTCCAAAGAGGGGCAGACACAACACTGGGCCCAGAAGCAGGGAGAGCAGATGCCCAGAGCAAAGGGGAGGCCTCCCCAGGGACCAAGGCCTTCATCTGAGCAGGCCCTGCCCCAGCCCAGGAAACTCACCTGGTTCCCGGTCTGGGCTGTCTCCGGACAAAAGTTGCAGAGGGACTCCAGGGGTGTCCTGTCCAGAAGTCCCAACATTCCGGTCCCGAGAAGGCATTCCCAGGGCTCCCTTCCGGTCTGTAGGACCTAGCTTTTCAGCTGGGGAGACACAGGGAGAAAGAAGGAAATGAGAGGGCAGCACCGCCAAGCCACAACTGCAGGGGACCCAGGACAGCTCTGCCCCTTCTCCCTTTTACAGGGAGACCTTCCTCCCCACTCAAGGACCAAGAGTCCTCCCTATCCACCATCTCCTTCTCCAGACCCAGCCCTCCTCCCTGATACCAGCGGTCCAGGTCCCAGCCCTCCTCCCTGAGACCCAGGATGGATGCTCTGGCTATAGGTCCATTACCATCAACCTCGCTTTTGAGGTGTCGAAAATCTGGAGCTGAAACAAGAGAGTGGGACAGTGAGGTGGGGGGTAGCCTGGAGGGGACAGGCTGGGGCTGAGGCCAGGGCCACCTTACCCTGGGGCTCTCCCCGGTTCCAGCGAGCAGCATCCAGGATACTGCTCAGTCCTTTCTTGGTCTTAGGAGGCTCATCTGACCGCTTGTTCCCCATCATCTGCAGGAAGTTGGGGGGCAGAGGAGGTCAGCACTTCCAAGATGCAAGAAGGCAGAATAAGATCCCAGGTGTCAGGGTCTTGAGGGTCCCCCAGGGCATCTTTGGAAGTGAAAGGGCCAAGTTTGGCATCAGCACCTTTTTCCGGAAGAAGTTCCTCCCTGACTTCTTGTCCCCGCTCTTGGTCCGCACCCCAAGGTGGCGCATGTACAGGCTGATGGCAGTCACCACAGCAGCACTGTGGGGAGGGGACAGTGAGGGCCCCAAACCCAAACAGACAAGTGCACACTACTGTGCCAGGGCAGAGGCGTGGCCTTGCCTCCCCATCCCCACAACCACTTCCTGAGTCTCTGAGGAAGGAGGGGAGGGCTCAACAGCACAGGGCCAGGGATGCTGCTCATGCAGGACTGGGACCCAGGCCTCAGCCCCCTCCCGCAAGCCAGAGGGACCGATGGGCTCTCTCTGCCATCCCCCCACCCCATTACCTCTTCTCTTCGTCGTTAGAGATGGTGTGCCTATAGGGAGAAGAGAACAGTATTGTGGCAGAGTTGTGGAGCCTGGGATCCCTGCCAACCAGCACACACCTCCAGGCTGCTCGTGCTCTCTGGAGTAAGAAGGGCAACTGCTGAAGCACCACCCGGGAGAAGGGAGGCTCTCTTCCAGGCAGATGGGAGTTGCCTAGACAGGGCTGAGCACAAGATCATGGACAAGACCAGAAACTGCAAAGGGACCCAAAGCCAAGAAGGGAAGATCCAGAGCCAGGATGAATGAAAAGGCCAGAGAGGGGAGCAGCCCACCTGCTAGGAAACAAGCCCTAGGGCTGAGGGGAGCCTGCAAACGGGGGCTGAGGAGCGCGTGGCCCACCGGCCCACTCACTGCATCTCCTCCAGGTGGGTCAGCAGTCGCTCGGCCACATGCCGCTCACGGGCCTCGTAGCTGGCTCGGTCGCGCCCAACCCAGGCCTCCAGCTGGGCTAGCTCCTGCTCCCAGGGCGTCATGCCCATGAGCCGCTTGGAGCGGAAGTCCTCCAGCTGCCTGCTCACGGTTGCCTGCTGGTTCTGCACCACCTCCTGCATGAACCGCCGCTGGACATCCTCAGAGAGGAGGTCAGGCCGTGTGCGGTCTGTAGGGACACACACAGGCTGGGGGCCAAGTCTCTGAGCAGGGCTCCCCACTCCCTCAGACCACAGTCCCCACCCACCTGCAGACAGCCAAGCTGCCCTGGGCTGCCACTATCAAGGGATGAATGAATCATGACCTCTCTTCCCAGGTGTCCTGGGAGGCACTGTCCCTGCCACAGACCCTCCCTCAACCCTAAAACCTTCCTTCTCTCCTTACCAAGTTCAAAGGTGACGCTGGAAGGGGCTGGCACCCGTAGGACCTGCTCAGGGAGAGACTGGCGTGAGGGGGAGCTCTGGGAGCGATGGGGGTGCAGCCCCGGAGGCCTGGTAGGAACAAGAGTGCGAGGGAGGATGCTGGGGAGGGCCTGAGGGGGCAGGGGGCGGTCACCCCAGGCCAGGCTGCCCTTTAAGCTGCCTTAGTGGTGGAGGTAGGGAGGTGCATGGAGGCTCTCCAGGACCAAGTGGGTGGGGATGGGTGGCTTAAAGGTGACTCTCACCGCGGTCTTATCCAAGAAGCTGTGGCAGAAGTCGAGGAAGGCCTTCTTGGTCTCCTTGGGGCCCAGGGAGCCCAGCATGTCGGCATGCAGGCAGCAGAGCTGGGGAGGACACACAGTGTGACTTCTTCCCTCCCAGGCCCAACCCCACCCCCACTTTGGATAGCCTAAGGGGCTTCTCCGCTCCCAGGCACCCAACGACTGAGGGCTCTAATGCTACCTCCTGGGGAAGCACTCCCTGATCTCTATTTCTACCCCCCAAACCCTTGCCTCCCTTAGCCTCTCTGGGGGTAATGACCATGAGCACTTCCTAATTTTTTATCCTATATAATTCTTTATGGTTCTGTCTCTTTTCCACTACTTCTAGTCATACCGAGGGCTCAGTGTATAACAGAGGTGGTTCTAAGTCTTTGTTGTGCATTAATTTATCTGTTCAATCACAGGGATCATCATTACCCTCATTTTTTGTTTTGCTTTTTTTTAGAAGTACTGAGGATTGAACCAGGGACTCTTGCATGCTAGGCACATGCTCTACCACTGAGTTATATTCCCAATACTTTTTTATAATTTTATTTTGAGACTCACCAGGTTATCCAGACTAGTTTCCAACTTGCAATCCTCCTGCCTTAGCCTCTTCCCCAAGAAAAGCTGAGATTAAGTGTGCATTACGGATCCTGGCATTTATTACCCCCATTTTATAGATGGGAAAACTGAGTTTATGATGCCCACTCAAGGTCACACAGCTAGTAAGTGGCAAAGCTGGGATCTAAATGCAGAAAGCCTGACTGCCTCTACTGCTCCCCATTGTCTACAAGTTATTGTGAGCAACTTGAGAGTCTGTCTGTGGACACAGCAGTGGTAGGTGGGTTCTGATTCCTATGGCCCTGTGCACAGCAAGGGCTTCATAAATAAATGGGTAGAGGAGTTGGGCTCACTCAGCATCTCCTGAGGTTGCCTGGGAGCCAGCCCTGGGCTGGATGACTCTGGCAGTGCAGCAGGGAGTCCAACCTGTCCTGGCTCCCGGGGGAGTTCTCAACTGGCAAGTGACCTGGCCTTAAGTGTGCTAAGGACTTACTCCAATGTGGCAGACTCTTTGAACAACTTCAACGAATCTACATCCACTCTCCTTACCTCCACCCCTAAAGTACAGCCTGAGAAGGGCTACAAGAGGACAAATTTCAAAATGCCAAAGGCCATCTGCGGTCACTCCAGGCAAGCCTGGCCCTCTCTCGCTCTCAGTTTCCACATCCATAAGCATATGGCAGTTGGCACCATCCCTGTGCTTAGGTCTAGGAGGGATCCTTGTGTTCTGGAACCCCAGGACTTAGGCTGGACCTCTGTTGGAGGGCCACAGCATTAGGGGAAGGGCCGCCACTTTCTGGAGAAAGCAGACAGGGACGATACTGGCAATTTCCCAATTTTCTGCCAGTTTTTAAAGCTTTGGCATCAGAACACCCAGGCTTTGCTTTTGATGTCCCCTTCCTTCTACACCCCAAAGGGTTTCCTCCTTGCTATTTCTTTGTCTCCCAGTTTTCTGGAGGAAGCATCCGACTTTCCACACCGTGCATGCCTGGGGCTGTTTCCCAGCTGGCGGCCTGTACTGGGCTGCTCTGGGTCTTCTGGGATAAGACATTGTCTACAGACTCCCACTGGCCAGCGCTGTGGCTTTTCCTTCAAAAATCACCTCCTGAGTTTTCTAGACTGGAAAGCATGGTCCTGGATCCACAAATCCCAGGTATCTTCGGCCTGGCGCAAGAGGTTTCTGGGTTAACAATTACGCCCTGTTCATATAGTGGGCACTTGTGGTGGCCTCCTCATTTCAGGATCAGGGGCTGCAGTGTCATCTGGGATGGGATGGCTGACGGCTTTCTCCCAGGTACCAATCCCGATGGTAACTGGTAACACCTGCAGAGGCCTAGTTCGGTCCTCCTTCAACAGCCATGGGAAGGGTGCTGTCACTGATGGGGGACCCCGCTCCAGTCCCGGAAGACAAGCAGCAGGACCTGGTCTCTGCCAGGCTACAGGGTTCTCTGTGGTCTATGCACGGCCTGTCACAGGTACACTCCAGGCCAGCGCTCATGGCTCATCGAGGTTTCTACGGGGGCCCCCGTCTAGTCTAGACCACACAGTGTGCGTTCTAACTCTCAGCTGTGGTGCTAGTTCTAGATTCTGTGCTGTGCGCTCTGGGGCTGGTTCCCAGGCCCTCCTGGCTCATCTGCACTGGTCTAGCTCACCGACAGGCATGGCCTGCCCAACCTCACTGCCCCTCCCTCTGCAGTTGTGTCCTCACCAGAGGTCCTGGCTCAAACTGCAGGGCCACATGCTGCAGGAAAGCCATGAGGTGGGCCGGGCGCCTCTTCACCTGCTCCAGGCTCTGGAACTGGCTGTTTTGCTCCTCTGAGCTCTGGGGGTGGGAAAGAAGGTCGCTAAGTGCCACGGGGAGAGGTGAAGAGGCCTTGGTGGCCCCACCAGGTCCATGGCACCTCTCAATGGATCCTAACTGGGGGGGAAGATGCCAGGAAGTTGGCAGTAGAGATGTGTCTCCACCAGAATGGTGACAGTTGGGGCAGAAGCGTGGAGAATGAATGAGATTTGATGTTCTATTGGTGAGTGACAAGAACAGAAATTAGGAGAGAAGGAATGGGACTCCATGGTGGGGGCAGTGATAAATTGGGGCCAGAGTAAGAAGTCTGTGCTGAAGGGGGGCACTGATGGCGCAGGGAGGTGAGGAAGGCGGTATCGGGAAGAGGAAGAATAAGAGATGAGCAGAGGCCGGCCCTAGGGTGGAAGGGACACCGACTAAGGATGGGACGGAGATTTTCCATTCCATCTCCCACTCACAGCCTCCAGCTCATTCTCGAAATCCTCATCCTCAGCCCCGATGATGCTGACGGGCACCAGGCCAGGCCGCGGGGGCCCTGGAGCCTGTGGAAGGGGAGGCACGGCTTCAGCCCACATCGCAGCCCCCCAGTCCCCACACCCTCCCAGGCTCTCCTCACTCACCACCCCTCGGGCGACGTCTTCCATCTCCAAGGCTCTGTGGGGCAGGGAGAGGAGGGGCTGTGGTCAGGGGTGGGAGGAGGCGGCCCAGGGCGGTTACTCAGAGATTCCTGGCCCAGGTGTGAAGGTGAGTAAACAGCCTCCCCCCATCCCGGCCTCCGCAGCTCAATGGGGCCTCTGTGTGGCGACAAAGAGCTCTTCAGAGGCTAGCCAGGGGGCGGGGAGCCCAAGGACCAGAGGGGGGGCACAGGCTGGAGGCCCAGGAGCCTGGGTCCACAAAAGCACTGTGGGTGTGAGCTGGCAAACTGGTCCCTACAAGAGGAGGGACCAGAGGCCTGGGGGTTGGCCCCCCAAGGAGGCAGGGCCTTTGGGCAAATGGAGTTAAAGGAAAGGTTGAGGGGAGGTAGGAAGGAGAGGACTGGGGTGTGGGGGGCTCTTCTCTGATCTGTGACAGACCTAGGCCAGGATGTTGCCTGTGAACCCACCAGCCCCACTTCCTGTGACAGGAAGTCACAATGGCAACCCCCAACCCCCAACTCTCTCCACACAAGAAAACAAAACTCTGAACCTTCCTTTCTCAGGGACCCAGAGTCCCCAACCTAGAGGTTCTTCTTTCTTTCAGGAACCAACTATTTTTTCCCAGCATTTGGTCCCAGAAAACGAGGGAGGGGGCCCTTGACAGCTCACCCGCAAGGTGTGAGTCTCCCTCTACATTATCTTGCAGGGCTCCGCCTGACTGTGTCTCCCTGGGATTTATCTCCCATCTCTGTCCTTCCTTCTGCTTCCTGGGCTCTTTTTCCTCTTCCAGTCCTGTCTCCTCCTGCCTGGTCTCTGCCTGACCACCCTCCTCCTCCCGACATTCAGGGCTCCCGGCCTCTCTCCCTCTGCGTGCCTGTCCTTCCATAGTCAGTTTCTGAAGCCCCAAGTTGCTGTCTCATGTCCCTCCATCTCTCAATGTCTCTCCCAACTTTGTGTCCCCTTCTCCTTGAGTCTTCCAAAGATCTTTCTGTGTCCCTAAATAGTCTGAATAATGCCAAAGGAGCTATGTCAGGGGGAGTAGGGGGTGCAGTTTCCTACACCCCAAAGCTATTTATTATCCTAGCCACCTGAGACCCACCCTTGCCCAAGACCCACCCTTTTCCCTCTTCCATGGCGCCTGATAAAATGGTAGCTGAGATTTTGCTATAATGACTAAATAATGATGCTTTTGGTGGTATCCAAATACCACCTTTAGGGTCTACCCAAGCAGGCATCATTTTTATAAAAAGTGTGTCTACCATTCAAGCTTAGGTAATTTCAAGATTTGAGCAATTAAATGTTCACATAAATTAATTTGCAAACCAAGGCAGAAAAATAACAGTAATTATTTATCATGAGAGCTAAACTCACCTAGCACTTATATTGGGTACTACTCTAAGGACTGCTCATGTATTAATTCAGTTAAACCCCACAAAAGTAAGCTAGTCTCATTCCCACGAGACACAGGGATGCCTTTACCAGGCCACCACCTGCAATTTCATACAGAATCCATGCTTATCTCACTCAGGGGTGGAGAAGTTCAACTAGGGCAAAGGTCCCAAAGTAGGTGCTGGGGATGTAGCTCAAGGGGTAGGGCACTTGCCTAGCATGAATGAGGCCCTGAGTTCCAAATCCACAGTGGGAAAAAAAAAAAAAGTAGCAAAGGAGGAAAGGCATATTATCTGAGCAATGTTCAGTGCCAGGCCTAAAGTCATGCACTTGACAAGCATTACCTCCTTATTCCTCATCATAATAATATGAAAACAATAGCTAACACTTATGGTGCTCTTAGTATGTGCCCATTAGCACACTGCATTACAGATGCTTACTCACTGAATCCTCTCCATAACTCATGAGGCCAGCAATATTCTGATTTAATATTTTTTGACCACTATTATTCTCATCCCCATTTTACAGAGGAGGAAACTGAGGTACAGCTCATAAACGACAGAGCCAAGATTCAGAACCAGGCAGTCTGGCTCCAGAGTAGATGAATTTAATAGACTGTGGTCCTTCAGAGCATGAGGATCCCCCACCACATCCTTAGGAAACTAAAATCTGAACCAAAGCTAATACACATTAAGTTTCCTTAGATGCCTGGGAAAGTCAGGGGTATGTAGCTGCTGCAGCCTGGGCAGGAGTGCAGGTTGGACCTGACCTGGGGTTCAGGACTGGGAGTGGGGTGAGAGGGAGGGCTCAATGTTTAGGGCATAGGAAGGGGGGGGGTCCCCATAGAAGCTGGGAATTATAGGTGAAGCTGACCAAGGCAAAATGTGATCTACAGAAGACTGACAAGGCCTGGGATCCAGCAGAGGGAGCACTGTGTACAGGAGGCTTTGGTCATCAGTACAGGTTGAGAAGGTTCATGGGGTGGGGATTCTAGAGGAAAGTGGCACACATGGACCCCTGGGTTCTCTGCAGGGCTCAGGGTATATAAGATATCGAGCAGATGATCTAGGTTCTCCAAGAATCCTTGAAGAACCTCAAAGGGGCCCTTAGAATTTATTCAGCCCCAGATTTTATTGATATATCTAAAGAATCTGGAGATCATTTGGATTATGATTAAATAGGGAAAGCAGCCAGTCTACCAGACTTATGGAGACTTAAAGAATTCTTATTGGGGTGTGTGATGGATCCTCGGGACCCAGCATCTATTTGGCCCTGGATTCTAGGGGATGTTATTGACCTATCAGAACCCCATGTTTACAAGAGTCCGGCTCCCCTCAAGGGAGGCCAGGCGGAACCTGGAGGGTCTGTAAGATCTTGTAACCTATATGGACGTGGCGGGTCTTCATGAGCCCCAAATCTTACATGGGACGTGGCGGGTTCACATGGGCCATAAATTCTACAGGGACTCAGAAGTATACACAGCCGGGGATGCCGGGTAGAAAGCACAGAGCCTGACGCCCACCAGGAGCCGCGTCCCTCACCTGCTTGGGTTGGAAAAGAAGTCACTGCAGCCGCCGAAACTGAAGCCTCCGCGCGCGGACTTCGGGTTCCCCCACCCCTGCCGCCGAGTCGCTCTAGCCGCCCCAGAGTCCACTTTACGCCCACCTCCACTCCTCCCGCCGACCGCTCTAGCCAGGCTCCTATCAGGCTTCTGCCCCAGCGACTCTACTCCTCCGCCGGCCGCTCTAGCTATCCGCTGCGCCACGCTGGCCAGACAGGGCCGCTCTGGCCTGCCTTGGAGGGCCGGCGTTTCCGTATCTCGACTGCCCCTGTCACTCTCTCGGGTCCCGCCCCCTGGCCGGAGGTAAGGGTGGTTCCAACTCCTGGCCAGAACTCAATCCCAGATTTACCGACTCACTTGGTCCCTAAATCTCCGGACCTTGCACAGAGGGTCCCCGCTTTATTTGCCTCCCCAGCACAGGAACCTGATGAATTCCCCACGCTCATACATCAATTCCCTCCGCAATCCCACCACCTCCTTCCGCGGGAGCTGGAGAGCTAAAACCTTGGGGTTGAGCATACTTTTCCTTTTGACATCAGGGTAACACTGAAAATGCAATTACTGTTTCCAAGCCTCAATCTTCCCATCTGTACAATGCGGGAAGTTTCCAGCTCTCTCCCCTACTCCCATCTCCCAGGGTATAATTAACGGCCCAAAGAGGAGCTTCCCGAAAACGCTTTCAAACGCGCTGCTCTGCAACTCTCAGCTTCACAGCGGCCCGCGGGGTTATTGTTGTTGTTTTTCTTTTTAGATGGCCCCAGAGCGTGTAGGGATGGAGGACGGCGCTTAGCGGGAAGCAACTTAGAATTCAAATCCCAACTGCACACTGTCTCACAGAGTGTGTCGCTGGCACGAGTCAGTTCGGTTCCCTGGGCCTCAGTTTCCCCACCGGTACAGTGGGTGTGATCCTAGGTCCTGAACAGTTGGGAGCCTTGAGCCCAGCTCACGGCTTTCATCCCCACCCACTGGGCACTTGACAAGTCTTCCTGCGCTCTTTGTCCCCTTTGACAGATGGAAAAACTGAGGCCCCAGGAGGGCGGCCGCTGGTTCGGGGAGCTCGGAGGAGGCCCCTCCGCTGCCGGAGCGCCCCAGCCCCCTCCCTCCTCCGCCCC